TTTCTATGGTCTCTGAAGGCGTGTGGCTCCATCTAGCCGCAGGCGGACTACTACAAGTTATTAAAATCTCTCGACGAGGCTCTTCATATAATCACGATCGAACTTCACTTACAGGTAAGTTCGTTTGATCGTACAATTCTATTTCACGTTTCTCGGCAGACTTCCAATCAATCAGTTCACCAGCATATTCAACCACAAATTCTCCTCGGAGGAATGACTGCGTTGTAATCATTCCTCGTCCTTTATCTTCAAAATATTTTATACTCAAGCCCTCTTCAGCTCCATTTTGTATTTTAGATTGAATATTGTGTTCTTGTTGTGCCATTACATTTTTTTCATTGACCCGAGGAATCCGCCGATTAAGAATAAACATTTTTATTTAATTCTGAACCATAGCACCCTTCATCAACATTCAACCTCACTTATTTATTATTGTCTATATGGTGAAATTCAGATCAGTGCGGCCGGCTAAATTCACATCCAGTAAGATCTTTTGTTAAAAAAGATATAAAAAAGATCCCATTTTCGAAAGAGATATTAGGGAAAAAACTTGAATTGAAAAAAGTTGAACTCGAAAAAGTCTCAACTGACAATGAGAACAAACTTCCAGGGGAACGCCAACAGATGGTATTGAAAAAATGGGCACCGTGAATGGGCATTTTCATGAGCAATTTTTGCGAAAATGAATGCGTGTTTTAAAATGTATTCCCCGCCTGAAATAGGAAATCAGAATGGTCATTGAATCTAGATACGCGGTAGCGTATCAGCCAAGAAAAGTTTTGACCGACTGAGCTAAACATCAGGCCGAGCGCACCGCCTATCTATACACGACAGAACTCCTTCCACTACCTCGAAATGATTTACATTCGGTATAATGAAAACGGGACGACAAATCGGGAAAGTGTCGTTAGTTACATTATATAAATCGCCTATGAGCTTTTCAACGGTGTAACTGTGGTATTTTTTGGATTAACAGCAAAAAAAAGGCGCATAGCAACGAGTTGATATTCACATTCTCGCGATTCACATTATAAACTGTAAGAATCAAGTTGTAACGTTGGCAGCGCCGGTCCAACTGAGCTTCATATCCAACGTTGAAGTGTTGCCACCAGTGCATTTGAATGTGGGTTGTGATGTTGTTATGGAGAACCACAGAAAATGTTCTTCTTCACGTTAAATCACTTATTAAAATGAAATGGAAATTCGACTCGGTGTTCTATTTTGTTTTCTCTCGTCGAAAATTCGAATTTCATCCCGCCATATCTATATTCAAATGAGGACCTCGGACATAAAGGTAGTTTATGCACTGTTTGTGAGGTTATCGGTTTATGTTTGGAATGTGACAAAAGGGAGATGTGTCGAAAATATTGTGTGATCAAGTATTAAATGTCTGTGAATAGTTAAATTCGAAAAGAAAATATTTATTTTTCTCCGAGTGTAACAGAAACTGTTTTCATTCCGTGGAAAAAAATTCACTAAATTAAGTGACAGTAAAATGCGAACAATTTTGTGATTATTTAGGAAAAATTAGTAGGAAACAGTGGGATTAAATGGATACTTTGAAACCTTTCCAAAATGTTGATGTCTTATTGAAGTGCTGATGAAATAGATTTTTTTTATTAATTAAACTATAGTCAACCCCTTTGTAATAAGATTAGACTGAGCTCAATCAATAAATTTGTTCCTTGGTTATAAATATTGAAATAAGAAGCCAGAAGAGTCCATTCCACCCAATTTTTCCTTAATATTTTTCAAAACAAAAAAAAACAAAAACAGATGTTTTCAAAAAGAATTCTATGTGAACATTTTGTTCGACTATTCCTATAAGGAAATCAGTTCGTCTCTCCACGAAATACAATCCATATAGGAATCATCAGAGCAAAAATGGAATGGATGGATGTTAATAGATGATTAAAATTTGAAATTCGGTGGAGAGAATAAATCTTGAGTAGAACTGTTTATTTCCCTCCAATTCAAAAAAAGGTCTATCTTATGAAAAATGAATCAGTTAAATTGAATTGAAAAGAACAAATTTCACCGGATGTAAAAACAGTCCTTGCTTATTTTGATGAAATAATGAAATCTGCCTAAAAACACAACATCAAATGTTTTTGCCAAGAAAAAGTCTTGTTTGATTCCTACTGGGAAATCGAAGTTTTTGAAAAATACATAGAAATAAAAAAGGAAGCCAAGTTAGGAATTTCGAATAAATGGTGATAGTGCACATTTAGGTTTCTATAAGAAAAATAGTTCTCAATGGTGTACCGACTGTAATGGTTAGGTGGGTGAGGTGTTACTCCGGCGGACATCCAAGCTAAGCAGCGTGGAGCTGGGTTAGTACTTGGATGGGTGACCGCTTAGGAACACCCCGCTCGTACAAAAAATTACGGGCGGTAGGCACGGTGTAGCGGCCTAGTGTCTCCATCTAGTCAGTGTGACAGGTGGATACATTAGGGCACTGCACATTCTGCCGGCTATGCGACTGGGGTTTTACATGAATTTCCGTGCAGTCCTAGCTCGAATGGGGCACAGCTAAGAGTAAGACGGCCATGATACCGCAGATAACAATGAGAGGAAAAGTAAAGGAGGGAAGGCAGGCTAGAGGAGGGGTTTCAAATCAAGAACTACTTCGATAAAACCAACGAAATAGAAAAATAAAAAAATAAAAATAGTTCTCAATGGAATAAGTGTTCTAAAAAAATTCTCCATGCAATAAAAAATCAGTAGGAGCAGGACCAACGTTCTTGGCGCGAAGTTTTTCAATTCACTGTCTGTATCAATCTATTCCTCCATCCTTTGATCTGTGCCAAGGACGTTGGTCCTGCTCCTACTGATTTGTTATTTCATGGAGAATTTTTTTAGAATACTTATTCCATTGAGAACTATTTTTCTTATAGAAACCTGAATGTGCACTATCACCATTTATTCAAAATTCTTGACTTGGCTTCCTTTTTCATTTCTATGTTAAAACATTGCACATAAAAATTAAAAACTCCAACTCCTCCAAATTGTTCCCAAATGGAATTGAAAAATAATTTTCAGCGGGGGCTGTGATATCCAAAATTTGTATGCCTCAATTTATTATAAGGTAAAATAATTTTGAAATTGTTTTAATTAATTTTAATTTTATTTGGAGGACGTTTCATCATTTGAACTTGATTAAAAATTCCAAAGACATTAGAATCGAGTCCGACAGTGATGAAATGTCCCACTCAGCATGCCCCCATTATACCATTTCAAGGTTCGCACGCGGAGAAACGATTAAAAACCAATGAATCAAAACCCCAAAACCGAATGAACTACTTCCCCAATAAAAATCAAAAGAGTGGAAAAAGTCATAGTGTAGCGTTTAGGATATTTGGACGGGAAACTAAATAACTAACTAGACCCAATAAACGAAATATCAAAAAGGTTTATTAGTCGCAGCGTTCGAAATATATACAAGTAGGAAGCTAATTAAAGCGGAGATTATCAGGCGATAGCCGGTAGACAGCTGTCCAACGGGATAATGCGAGTGCTCGTCGCGAGTGTGCGTGTGGCCCGCCGGGGTGGTATGCGAGTAACCGGGTGTCCGTGTCTGCTGATGTAGCTAGTCGCTACATGTCTTCCTTACTGGGGAAAAACGTAGTTTTCAAGTGCAAGTCCGTGAAAGAAAAAAAAATTCCGGTTTTCTGAGAGGGTTGATCAGGGCGCTAGAAGTATTTCTCCACTCGCTCGTTGAATTTTACTTTCCTCCCAGGGCTGGTGATGGCTGCAGTGGTCGAATTGGGGGCCAGTGCAGGTTCCTCTCGTGGGCGTTGTTGTCGTTCCGGTTGTGTTGGTGCTGTTGGAGGCTCAGGCTGCGGCGGCGGTTCCGGCAGGGAGTTCATATCCTCTGGCAGGATATACGCGGGCTTGAGTCTGTCGATGGAGATGGGTGTATCTTGCAGATAGTTACTCCTCCCCAGTGCTCTGGAATGAACGACGTAATGTTTTTCGTGCCTACTAACAACTCGGTACGGTCCCAAGTACGGAGGGGCATGATTATGAGCCTGAGTGTCCGAGTGTATGAACACGTGTGAGCAGTTAGCGAGGTCTTTAAAGGTGAAGATGGGTCTGTTCCCGTGTCGAGACATCTGCGTTGGTGCTACTGCTGCAAAATGTCTTCGAAGGTCTCTGAGGACCTCGGGGGCTCCTCGGCTGTCAGTTGGCGTGAAAAATTCACCTGGAATGCGTAGATTTTCGCCGTAGGTGAGTTCAGCCGGAGTGCTTTGAATGTCTGGTTTCCAGGCGGTGCGGAGTCTCAGTAGGACCAGCGGCAACGCCTCGTACCAGGATTCCTTGTGGCAACGAAGCGAGGACTTGAGCTGTCGGTGAAGTCTCTCGACAAGTCCGTTTGCTTGAGGGTGTAAAGGCGTGGTAAGTTTGCGTTCGATCCCGAGTAATTGCGTGAGCTGCTTGTAAATGTCAGCGATAAACTGGCCTCCCCTGTCCGAAGTGATCCTGAGAGGGACTCCGAACCTGGCGATCCAGTGATATAACAGAGCGTGGATTACTGTTGTAGTCCTGATGTCTGGAAGCGGTATGGCTTCGGGGCACCGAGTGAACCTGTCGATGATTGTGAGACAGTCTTTGTAGCCTTTGGATAGTGGAAGTGACACCAAGTCGATGTGAATATGCACAAAACATTGAGTAGGGAGGTTGAACTCTGCTATCGGCGTTGACGCATTTCTGCCGACTTTATTAGCTTGGCACGGCAGCCAGTGCTTGCTCCATTCTAAGCAGTCTTTGTTGATCCCAGTCCACACGTAGCGGTCCGTGACGAGCTTGCGTGATGCTCGGCCTCCAGGGGGAGCTAGTGAGTGCAACGAGTTGAACACTCGTTTCCTCAGCGGTTCTGGGACGAACGGGCGCAGCGTACCGGATGGAGAGAGATTGCAGTACAATCGTACGTCCATTCCTGGGAGCCTGACCAGCTGCAGGTTGAGGTTGCCGTTGGGATTTCGCAGGCTCTGCTGCAGTTCAGGGTCTTGAAGCTGTGCTTGAGCAAGTTGTTGGTTGTCAATGGCCTCGGAGATGGCTTCTATGCGTGATAACGCGTCCGCCACGATGTTCTCAGCCCCAGCGATGTGCCTGATGTCCGTTGTGAATTGTCCAATAAAGTCTAACCTCCTGAATTGCCAAGGAGAGGCTTTTTCTGGCTTCTGCTGAAAGGCGTGAGTCAGAGGCTTGTGATCCGTGAAGATTATGATATGTCGACCTTCGAAGATGTGATGGAAATGGACAACGGCTTCGTAGATCGCATGTAACTCTCGATCGTATGCTGCGTGTCTGGTGTCGAAGAGG